GGCATTTTCTCTAGCGCTTGACAGCGCTGGTGACAGTAGACACATTACACGTGCGTGTTGCTAGGTTTCGGGCTAGATCGAGGTCTGCAGCACACCGCTGCGTGTGCTTGCAGTGGCATGGCTTGCATGGGCTTGCTCCATCACTGAGCTACTCTCTCTCTCCCTCTGTCTCTCTCTCTCTTACTTTTTACACATTGGCAACGAGCCTTTGTCCCTGCTATAACTATAACCGGTTGGGCTCCGATGAGGCCCTGTTATTGCCGATAACTTTTAATACAGACAAAGAGTAGGAAAAATCGGGGATTTAAAAAATCCTTGTTATTACCGGATCCCTGTTATTACCGGGCATGTTATTAATGGTTTCCACTGTATTTATTTTATAGAAAAAACTCATTTTAAAGAAACAGAAAAAGGGACAGAAACTTTACCTTTGATTTTCTCAAAACATTTTTCGGACTGAAAAACTGTGCAAAATGTACATAGGGTGGGGGAGAGGGAGAGAGAGAGAGAGAGAGAGAGAGAGAGAGAGAGAGAGAGAGAGAGAGAGAGAGAGATCATGCTTAAGATACAAAATGGGAAAGAAGAAAAGGTAAGTCGGAGGTGATGTTAAAAAAACAAACGATATTAGATTTGTCATAACTCTTACTTCCGTCTTGAAAAGCGGATTGTGCCCCTTGCCCAACGAGTGGCATAAACACGGACAGGCCTGTTGGGAGAGACAGTGATAGTTATGTACAAGTACAAGTCTTCATGCTGGAAGATTTTCTACTGACTGCTACTGTTACTGCTACTGCTCTTTCTACTGCTGTTTTTTCTTCTTCTGCTGCTGCTGCTGCTACTGCTACTGCTGCTGCTACTGCTGCTGCTACTAACATAAGTAATAAAACCCGAAAAATCTCTTTTACATCTTACCGTGAGCATGTAGTGGGACCGACACGTCCGTTGTTTTGAGCTGAGCTTTGCTGACAGAGTTGAGAAACTGTTTGACAGAACTCTGGCTGTCTTCTACACAAGAAGCAAAGCCTTCCTTCAGGAGTCCCAGCGTTTTCCCGGCCACGCTCACTGTCTCAAGCTGTGGAGTAACACAACATTTTCACTGTAGTCTTCTCTGATTGCAGGACGTTTGTATAAAGGGAGCAGAAAAACGCCAAAATAGAGATACTCGGTAAGTGGGTGGAGAAAAGAAAATGAAAATTCGGGGGAATGTCTTATGGGCCCTTGATCATATTTAATGTATACTACGCTACTTCTATAATTGAGACGGTAAAGTGAATAAAATCACGTGCTAAAGGAGATATTGCGGAATGTGAGTCCTCAACCCGAGGTGACAGATCACACCTTTAACTCTGGGACATGCAGACGGTAAACTCTGCACAAATCGAACTATGACGTTCCCAGAATTCTAAACACCAACAATCTCTCCGATAATTCGATATCATTATGTCTCCTAGAAGCTAACATAATAAAACAGCTGACATTGAGCAGAATTAAAAACAACAAAAACGACAACAACAACAACAACAACAACTACAACAACAACAATAAATCACTGAAACTTGAGAAATACGAATAGTAAAAAAAAAAGAGAGAGAGAGACAGAGAGAGAGAGAGAGAGAGAGAGAGAGAGAGAGAGAGAGAGAG